GTCTTCCTCATGCGGAGGAGTGGTGAGGATACTCAGGAATATGCTTGTGAACGTTCGGGGGGCGCATGTACATACGTATCCCTTGTGAGCGTTCGCAGAGCTCGCCTACACTACATTTGATTGCGATGGTGCGGCAAGTGCTTGCGTAAGTCTTCCCTTTCACGCGCTTCCCGTTCATGCCAGGAAAGGTTTCAAAAACGAGCGTTTCGCTCGAGACATCCTCCCAACATCGTGCAGTTGGGGGTCGTATATTAAGACGTCGTTTGCTAAACATGGGCGTTTCGCTCGGGGCATCCTCCCAAAATCGGGATCTCGAATTTGCTCGCCTAATCTTCGGATCCTCGAAAATGGGCGTTTCGCCTGAGACATCCTCGAACAAATGTGATGCCGACAGAGTTCTTGTAAGGCATCTGTTCGGAGCGATCTCGGATGACCCTCAAGATGGCCCAAGAGGCGAAAATATTGAAAAACCCATGTGGCTTAAACACTTTCGTTGAACAATCAGCGTTTCGCTCGAGACATCCTCCCAACAATTCGTCCTCCTCCTCCTCCTCATCCTCCTCCTCCTCCTTTTCCTCCTTCTCCTTCTCCTCCTCCTCCTCCTCCTCCTCCTTCTGTTCTTCTTCCTCCTCCTCCTCCTCCTCCTCCTCTTCGTCCTCTTCCTCATCTTCCTCCTCCTCCTCCTCATCGCATTCTTCCTACTTTCCTTCCGCCTCTCCTCCTCCTCCTCCTCACCCTCCTCCTCCTCCTCCTCTCTCCCCGTCGGTCGTCTCCTCTTCCTCTTCCTCCTCTTTCTCCTCCAACTCCTCCTCCTCCTCATGTTCCTCCTTCTGTTCCTCCTCCTCCTGCTCCTGTTCCTCCTCTTCCTCGTCCTCATCCCCCTCCTCCTCCTCCTCCTCCTCACCTCTTCTGCTGCTGCTGATCGCTGCTCATTATCCTTCTCATCATCCTCCTCCTCCTCCTCCTCCTCCTCCTCTCTCCTCCTCTCGCCCTCCTCCTCCTCCCCCCCCTCCTCTCCTCCTCTCCTCCTCCCCCTCCCTCCTCCTCCTCCTCCTCCTCCCCTCCCGCCCTCCTCCTCCCCTCCTCCTCCCCCTCCTCCTCCTCCTCCTCCTCCTCCTCCTCCTCCTCATCTCCCTTCTTCCCTGGTCGTCGTCTTCGCCGTCGTCTTCCTCATGCGGAGGAGTGGTGAGGATACTCAGGAATATGTTTGTGAACGTTCAGGGGGCGCGTGTCCATACGTATCCCGTGTGAGCGTTCGGAGAGCTCGCCTATACTACATGTGATCGCGATGATGCTGCAAGTTCTTGCGTAAGTCTTCCCTTTCACGCGCTTCCCGTTCATGTCAGGAAAGGTTTTGAAAACGAGCGTTTCGCTCGAGACATCCTCCCAACATCGTGAAGTTGGGGGTCGTATCTTAAGACGTATTTTGCTAAACATGGGCGTTTCGCTCGGGACATCTTCCAAACATCGGGATCTCGAAATCGCTCGCCTAATTTTCGGATCCTCGAAAATGGGCGTCTCGCCTGAGACATCCTCGAAAAAATGGGATGCCGACAGAGCTCTTGTAAGGCATCTGTTCGGAGCGATCTCGGATGACCCCCAAGATGGCCCAAGAAGCGACAATATGGAAAAACCCATGTGTTGTAAACACTGTCGTTGAAAAATCAGCGGTTCGCTCGAGGCATCCTCCCAACAAATCCTCTTCCTCCTCCTCCTCCTCCTCCTCTTCCTCCTCCTCCTTGTCCTCCTCCTTCTCCTTCTCCGCCTCCTCCTCCTCCTCCTCCTCCTCCTTCTGTTCTTCTTCCTCCTCCTCCTCCTCCTCCTCGTCCTCGTCCTCTTCCCCATCTTCCTCCTCCTCCTCCTCGCCTTCTTCCTACTTCTCTTTGCTCCTCCTCCTCCTCCTCCTCGTCGGTCTTCTCCTCTTCCTCTTCCTCCTCTTTCTCCTCCAACTCCTCCTCCTCCTCCTGTTCCTCCTCCTTTTCCTCTTCCTCCTGCTCCTGTTCCTCCTGTTCCTCGTCCTCCTCCCCCTCCTCCTCCTCCTCACCTCTTCTTCTGCTGCTGCTGCTGATGCTGCTCTTTCTCCTCCTCCTCCTCCTCCTTCTCCTCATCCTCCTCCCCTCCTCCTCCCCCTCCTCCTCCTCCTCCTCCTCCTCCTCGTCTCCCTTCTTCCCTGGTCGTCGTCTTCGCCGTCGTCTTCCTCATGCGGAGGAGTGGTGAGGATACTCAGGAATATGCGTGTGAACGTTCGGGGGGCGCGTGTCCATACGTATCCCTTGTGAGCGTTCGGAGAGCTCGCCTATACTACATTTGATCGCGATGATGCTGCAAGTTCTTGCGTAAGTCTTCCCTTTCACGCGCTCCCCGTTCATGTCAGGAAAGGTTTTGAAAACGAGCGTTTCGCTCGAGACATCCTCCCAAATTCGTGAAGTGGGGGGTCGTACCTTAAGACGTCGGTTGCTAAACATGGGCGTTTCGCTCGGGACATCCTCCAACAATCGGGATCTCGAATTCGCCCGCCTAATTTTCGGGTCCTCGAAAATGGGCGTGTCGCCCGAGACATCCTCGAAAACATGTCATGTCGACAGAGCTCGTGTAAGGCATCTTTTCGGTGCGATTTCGGATGACCCCCAAGATGCCACAAGAAGCAAAACTATTGAATTATCCCAGAGCGACCCTACCTAGGAGTTGGAGCCCCTAGGAGAGCAATGTTAGTAGTAACGGTAAACGCCGTCCTCCTCCTTCTCCTCATCGTCGCAGTTGTAGCAGTAACGGTAGTAGTAGTGTTATGTTATGCTATGCTATCTTGCGTTATGTTATGTTATGCTATGCTGGGTTATGCTATGCCAGGCTAGGCTATGCTATGACATTATATGTTGCGCTATGCTATGCTATGCTATGCTATGTTGCGTTGTGATATGATATGATATGTTATGTTGTGATGTGCTGTGCTATGCAATGCTATGCTGCGCTATGCTATGCTAAGCAATGCTATGTTATGCTATGCGATGCAATGTTATGCGATGCTGTGCAGAGCTATGATATGCTGTACTATGCTATGCTGTGCTATGCTTGGCGATGTTATGCTATGCTATGCTGTGTTCATGCTGCGCTAAGCTAAGCTAAGCTAAGCTAAGCTAAGCTAATGTATGTTAAGCTAAGCTAAGCTAGGCTAGGCGAAGCTAGGCGAAGCTAAGCTAAACTAAGCTAAGCTAAGCTAAGCCATGCTAAACTAAGCTAAGCCAAGCTAAGCTCAGCTACGCTAAGCTAAGATGAGCTAGGCTACGCTTAGCTAAGCTAGGCTAGGCAAAGCTAAGCTAAGATGAGATAAGCTAAGCTAAGCCAAGCTAAGCTTAGCTAAGCTAAGCTAAGCTAAGCTGGGTAAACCCAGGGGGCGGGGACTGGGGGAACCGCGGGGCGGGGACTGGGGGAACCGCCCGGGGCGCTTTCCACTGCCCGGCCCCTTAAGCTAACAGAGTAAGAACCCTTCTAGGCAGAGCCTAGGTAGGGAAAAACCATGTGTTTTACACACTTTCGTTGAAAAAACAGCGTTTCGCTCGAGACATCCTCCCAAACATTCCTCTGTTCCTCCTCCTCCTCCTCCTCCTCCTCCTCCTCCTCCTCCTCTTCCTCATCCTCCTTCTCCTCCTTCTCCTTCTCCTCCTCCTCCTCCTCCTCCTCCTCCTTCTGTTCTTCTTCCTCCTCCTCCTCGTCCTCTTCCTCATCTTCCTCCTCCTCCTCGCCTTCTTCCTACTTCTCCTTCCTCCTCCTCTCCTCCTCCTCCTGCTCCTCGTCGGTCTTCTCCTCTTCCTCTTCCTCCTCTTTCTTCTCCAACTCCTCCTCCCCCCCTCCTGTTCCTCCTCCTTTTCCTCCTCCTGCTCCTGTTCCTCCTGTTCCTCGTCCTCCTCCTCCTCCTCCTCCTCCTCACCTCCTTCTTCTCTGCTGCTGCTGCTGATGCGCTTCTTTCTCTCCTCCTCCTCCTCCTCCTCCTCCTCCTTCTCCTCCTCCTCCTCCTACATCGTGCGCAGTTCATTGATCACTCGTGGCCAGCGGCGGCAACCAATAGAACTGGTTTGTAGCCTGCCGCTTGCGTGCCCCTGCTTTGCACTGCGTGGGACTCATCGCGGTGGTTGTTCCAATGGGTTCCACAGGTTGGCGGGGGGCGCGCGCGGATATCATCCCTGGACGCGCTCCTTGCGGCTAGGGGTGCCATCCCCGCTCCCTCAGGCTGTCTTGTGTTACCCTCTCTCCCCAGAAGTGTCCAATCCAATCCAATCCTCCTCCTCCTCCTCCTCCTCCCCTCCTCCTCCTCCTCCTCCTCCTCCCATCCTCCTCCCCTCCCCTCCTCCTCCTCCTCCTCCTCATCCTCCTCATCCTCCTCCTCCTCGTCTCCCCTTCTTCCCTGGTCGTCGTCTTCGCCGTCGTCTTCCTCATGCGGAGGAGTGGTGAGGATACTCAGGAATATGCTTGTGAACGTTCGGGGGGCGCGTGTCCATACGTATCCCTTGTGAGCGTTCGGAGAGCTCGCCTATACTACATTTGATAGCGATGATGCTGCAAGTTCTTGCGTAAGTCTTCCCTGTCACGCGCTTCCCGTTCATGTCAGGAAAGGTTTTGAAAACGAGCGTTTCGCTCGAGACATCCTCCGAAAATCGTGAAGTTGGGGGTCGTATCTTAAGACGTCTTTTGCTAAAAATGGGCGTTTCGCTCGGGACATCCTCCAACGGGATCTCGAAATCGCTCGCCTAATTTTCGGATCCTCGAAAATGGGCGTCTCGCCCGAGACATCCTCGAAAAAATGGGATGCCGACAGAGCTCTTGTAAGGCATCTTTTCGGAGCGATTTCGGATGACCCCCAAGATGGCCCAAGAAGCGAAAATACTGAAAAAAACCATGTGTTTACACACTTTCGTTGAAAAAACAGCGTTTCGCTCGAGACATCCTCCCAACAATTCCTCTTCCTCCTCCTCCTCTTCCTCCTCCTCCTTTTCCTCCCCCTCCGTAGCCATTTTGGCTCAAGCCGCGTGCGGGCCCACTGGCCCAAACGAGCTTAGGCATCATGGCGCGGGCGGAGTTGCCCCCGGGTGGCGATTCCGGTGCTGGAGCACCGTCGCGGCGATCCAGGGCTGCGCGGACAGCGGCACGGCGGCGCGCACTGGAGTCCGTCGACGCGGGCTTCTCGGCGGCCGAGGCCGAGCTGCAGATGAAGGAGGCCGGGCTGCGAGAGATGGCAGCGGCGCTTGAGCTCGTCGTTGGGGATTCTGTGACGGCTGACCGTGTTCGGGCCTTGCTGCCAGCGCTCAGCGCGCTGGTCCGCGGCGAGACGCCCGACTGGCTGGCTGTTCTTCGGCGGAACGTCGCGCTCCACGCGGAGGCGCCCGCGGTCGCCTCCATTGCATCGGCGGGCCCCGCTGCGCTTCGCAAGGCGCAGAAAGGCCCTCGGCTGGGCCATGGGAGGGGCCGCCGCTGCGCCCCGCAGCCTGGGGCACGGAAGCCGCTGCGCTCGACCGCCCAGCCCTTCTGCCCCGCTGCTGTGGCCGACCCCGTCGGCCTGCTGCTGGGCGCTCTGGGGGTGCTGGAGGAGGAGCCCGTCGAGGAGGTCGGCAACGGCACCGGGAACATCGCGGAGGTGCATTTCGCCACCATCGAGGGCCAGTGCGAGGGGGCCGAGACGGTCCCGCAGACGCCGCTGGCAGGCGGGATGGCGGGGCCAGAGCCGCTGGATGTCAAGGACAAGGTCGCCGCGCTGGAGGGCCTCCTCCTTGGCGCCACGGAACGGCTGAACACGGTCGCGCTCGCGATCGCCACCGCGCAGTACGACGGCACAGAGGTGGATCAGGCGATGCACGACGGGCTCGCTGCTTCCGCCGACCACCTCGTCCTTCTCGGGGGTCAGCTGGCCGCCGCCACTGAGGAGGCCAAGGCGGTCTTCGAGGGCGGCGACCACTGCGTTGGGCAGGTGCCGATGGCCGAGTACGACCCTGGCGTCGAGCACGACATCGTCGGCGAGCTCTTCCTCGAGGAGGGCTCCGAGGCCGACGAGGAGGCCGAGCACGGCCCCGCCTTCGTCCTGGAGGCGAACGCCTGGGGCGCAGGTCGGCGCGGGCAGAACCCTGCGCCTTCAGGTTCGGCCTACGCTAAGGAAGGATCCTGAGCGGGTCCCGAATTCAGTTGCACGACCTTTTCAGGTCTAGTCTAGCCTCCTTTTCCTCCTTCTCCTTCTCCTCCTCCTCCTCCTCCTCCTCCTCCTCCTTCTGTTATTATTATTCCTCCTCCTCCTCCTCGTCCTCTTCCTCTTCCTCCTCCTCCTCGCCTTCTTCCTACTTATCTTTCCTCCTCCTCCTCCTCCTCCGCCTCCTCCTCGTCGGTCTTCTACTCGTCCTCTTCCTCTTTTTTCTCCGCCAAGTCCTCCTCCTCCTCCTGTTCCTCCCCCTTTTTTCATCCTCCCGAAATCGTGAAGTTGGGGGTCGTATCTTAAAACGCATTTTGCTAAAATTGGGCGTTTCGCTCGGGAAGTCCTCCAAAAATCTGGATCTCGAAATCGCTCGCCTAAGTTTCGGATCCTCGAAAATGGGCGTTTCGCCTGAGACCTCCTCGAAAAAATGAGATGCCGACAGAGCTCTTGCAAGGCATCTGTTCGGAGCGATCTCGGATGACCCCCAAGATGGCCCAAGAAACGAAAATACTGAAAAAAACAATGTGTTTACACACTTTCGTTGAAAAACAGCGTTTCGCTCGAGACATCCTCCCAACAATTCCTCTTCCTCCTCCTCCTCCTCCTCTTCCTCCTCCTCCTTTTCCTTCTTCTCCTTCTCCTCCTCCTCCTCCTCCTCCTCCTCCTCCTCCTCCTCCTCCTCCTCCTCCCCCTCCTCTTCCTCATCTTCCTCCTCCTCCTCGCCTTCTTCCTACTTCTCCTTCCTCCTCCTTCTCCTCCTCCTCGTCGGTCTCCTCCTTTTCTCTTCCTCCTCTTTCTCCTCCAACTCCTCCTCCTCCTCCAGTTCCTCCTCCTTTTCCTCCTCCTCCTGCTCCTGTTCCTCCTCTTCCTCGTCCTCTTCCCCTCCTCCTCCTCACCCTTCTTCTGCTGCTGCTGCTGATGCTGCTCCTCCTTCCTCTCCTCCTCCTTCTCCTCCTCCTCCTCCTCCTCCTCCTCCCTCCTCCTTCCTCCTCCTCCTCCTCCTCCTCCGCCTCCCCCTCCCTCCTCCTCCGCCTCCTCCTCCCCTCCTCCCTCCTCCTCCGCCTCTCTCCTCCTCCTCCTCCTCCTCCTCCTCCTCCTCCTCCTCCTCCTCCTCTCCCTTCTTCCCTGGTCGTCGTCTTCGCCGTCGTCTTCCTCATGCGGAGGAATGGTGAGGATACTCAGGAATATGCTTGTGAACGTTCGGGGGCGCGTGTCCATACGTATCCCGTGTGAGCGTTCGGAGAGCTCGCGTATACTACATTTGATCGCGATGATGCTGCAGGTTCTTGCGTAAGCCTTCCCTTTTCTACGCGCTTCCCGTTCATGTCAGGAAAGGTTTTGAAAACGAGCGTTTCGCTCGAGACATCCTCCCAAAATCGTGAAGTTGGGGGTCGTATCTTAAGACGCCTTTTGCTAAACATGGGCGTTTCGCTCGGGACATCCTCCAACAATCAGGATCTCGAAATCGCTCGCCTAATTGCCGGATCCTCGAAAATGGGCGTTTCGCCGGAGACCTCCTCGAAAAAATGGGACGCCGACAGAGCTCTTGTAAGGCATCTGTTCGGAGCGATCTCGGATGACCCCCAAGATGGCCCAAGAAGCGAAAATATTGAAAAAGCCATGTGTTCTAAACACGTTCGTTGAAAAATCAGCGTTTCGCTCGAGACATCCTCCAAACAGTCCTCTTCCTCCTCCTCCTCCTCCTCCTCCTTTTGTTCTTCTTCTTCTTCCTCCTCCTCCTCCTCCTCCTCCTCCTCCTCCTCCTCGTCCTCTTCCTCATCTTCCTCCTCCTCCTCGCCTTTTTCCTACTTCTCTTTCCTCCTCCTCCTCCTCCTCCTCGGTCTTCTCCTCTTCCTCTTCCTCATCTTTCTCCTCCAACTCCTCCTCCTCCTCCTCCTGTTCCTCCTCCTTTTTCCTCCTCCTCCTGCTCCTGTTCCTCCTCTTCCTCGTCCTCCTCCCCTCCTCCTCCCACTCCCTTCTCTTCTGCTGATGCTGTGCTGCTCCTTCTCCTCCTCCTCCTCCTCCTCCTCCTCCCCTCCTCCTCCCCCTCCTCCTCCCCCTCCTTCTCATCCTCCGCCTCCTCCTCCTCCTCTCCCTTCTTCCCTGGTCGTCGTCTTCGCCGTCGTCTTCCTCATGCGGAGGAGTGGTGAGGATACTCAGGAATATGATTGTGAACGTTCGGGGGGCGCGTGTCCATACGTATCCCTTGTGAGCGTTCGGAGAGCTCGCCTATTCTGCATTTGATCGCGATGATGCTGCAAGTTCTTGCGTAAGTCTTCCCTTTTCACGCGCTTCCCGTTCATGTCAGGAAAGGTTTTGAAACCGAGCGTTTCGCTCGAGACATCCCCCCAAAATCGTGAAGGTGGGGGTCGTATCTTAAGACGTCGTTTGCTAAAACTGGGCGTTTCGCTCGGGACATCCTCCACAAATCGGGATCTCGAAATCGCTCGCCTAATTTTCGGATCCTCGAAACTGGGTGCTCGCCCGAGACATCCTCGAAATAATGGGATGCCGACAGAGCTCTTGTAAGGCATCTTTTCGAAGCGATTTCGGATGACCCCGAAGATGGCCCAAGAAACGAACCTATTGAAAAACCTATGTGTGTTGCACACTTTCGTTGACAAATCAGCGTTTCGCTCGAGACATCCTCCCAAAATCCTCCTCCTCCTCCTCCTCCTCCTCCTCCTCCTCCGCCTCCTCTTCCTCCTCCTCATCCTTGTCCTCTTTCTCCTTCGCCTCCTCCGCCTCCTCCTCCTCCGTCTGTTCTTCTGCCTCCTCCTCCTCCTCCTCTTCCTCCTCCTCCTCCTCGTCCTCTTCCTCATCTTCCTCCTCCTCCTCCTCGCCTTCTTCCTACTTCTCCTTCCTCCTCCTTCTCCTCCTCCTCCACCTCCTCCTCCTCCTCCTCGCCGGTCTTCTCCTCTTCCTCTTCCTCATCTTTCTCCTCCAAGTCCTCCCCCTCCCCCTGTTCCTCCTCCTTTTCCTCCTCCTGTTCCTGTTCCTGTTCCTGTTCCTCCTCTTCCTCGTCCTCCTCCCCCTCCTCCTCCTCACCTCTTCTTCTGCTGCTGCTGCTGCTGATGCTGCTCCTTCTCCGTCTCCTTCTCCTCCTCCTCCTCCTCCTCCGTCTCCCCTCCTCCTCCTCCTCCTCCCCTTCTCCTCCCCCTCCTCCTCCTCCTCCTCCTCCTCCTCCTCCTCCTCCTCCTCTTCCTCTCCCTTCTTCCCTGGTCGTCGTCTTCGCCGTCGTCTTCCTCATGCGGAGGAGTGGTGAGGATACTCAGGAATATGATTGTGAACGTTCGGGGGGCGCGTGTCCGTACGTATCCCTTGTGAGCGTTCGGAGAGTTCGCCTATACTACATTTGATCGCGATGATGCTGCAAGTGCTTGCGTAAGTCTTCCCTTTCACGCGCTTCCCGTTCATGTCAGGATTTTGAAAACGAGCGTTTCGCTAGAGACGTCCTCCCACAATCGTGAAGTTGGAGGTCGTATCGTAAGACGCCGTTTGCTACAACTGGGCGTTTCGCTCGGGACATCCTCACAACATCGGGATCTCGAAATCGCTCGCCTAATGTTCGGATCCTCGAAAATGGGCGTCTCGCGCGAGACATCCTCGAACAAATGGGATGCCGACAGAGCTCTTGTAAGGCATCTGTTCGGAGCGATATCGGATGACCCCCAAGATGGCCCAAGAAGCGAAACTATTGAACCAACCCATGTGTGTTAAACACTTTCGTTGGAAAATCAGCGTCTCGCTCGAGACATCCTCCCAAAACATCCTCTTCCTCCTCCTCCTCCTCAGCTGTCTCCTCCTCCGTTTCCTCCTTCTCCTTCTCATCTTCCGTATCCTCTTTCTCCGCTTTATGTTCTTCTTCCTCCTCCTCCTCGTACTCTTCCTCATCTTCTTCCTCCTCCTCGCCTTCTTCCTACTCCTTCCTTCCTCCTCCTCCTCCTCCTCCTCGGTTTTCTCCTCGTCCGTTTCCTCCTCTTTCTCCTCCAATTCCTCCTCCTCTTGTTCTTCCTCCTTTTCCTCCTCCTCCTGCTCCTGTTCCTCCTCTTCCTCGTCCTCCTCCCCCTCCTCCTCCTCCTCACCTCTTCGTTTGCTGCTGCTGTTGATGCTGCTCCTTCTCCTCCTCCTCCTCCTCCTCCTCCTCCTCCTCCTCCTCCTCCTCCTCCCTCCCCCTCCTCCTCCTCCTCCTCCTCCTCCTCTCCTCCTCCTCCTCCTCCTCCTCCTCCTCCTCCTCTCCCTTCTTCCCTGGTCGTCGTCTTCGCCGTCGTCTTCCTCATGCGGAGGAGTGGTGAGGATACTCAGGACTATGCTTGTGAACGTTCGGGGAGCGCGTGTTCATACGTATCCCTTGGGAGCGTTCGGAGAGCTCGCTTATACTACATTTGATCGCGATGATGCTGCAAGTTCTTGCGTACGTCGTCCCGTTCACGCGCTTCCCGTTCATGTCAGGAAAGGTTTTGAAAACGAGCGGTTCGCTCGAGACATCCTCCCACAATCGTGAACATGGGGGTCGTAGCTTAAGACGGCGTTTGCTAAACATGGGCGTTTCGCTCGGGACATCCTCACAAAATCGGGGTCTCGAAATCGCTCGCCTAATTTTCGGATCCTCGAAAATGGGCGTCTCGCCAGAGACATCCTCGAAAACATGTGATGCCGACAGAGCTCCTGTAGGGCATATTTTCGGAGCGATGTCGGATGACCCCCAAGATGGCCCAATAAGCGAAATTATTGAAACAAAACATCTATTTTACACGCTGTCGTTGAATAATCAGCGTTTCGCTCGAGACATCCTCCCAACAATTCCTCGTCCTCCTCCTCTTCCTCCTCCTCCTCCTGTTCCTCCTTCTTCGTCTCCTCCTCCTCCCCCTCCTCCTTCTGTTCGTCTTCCTCCTCCTCCTCCTCCTCCTCCTCGTCCTC